CAATATGTCATTTGATTTCTTAACTGCTGCTTCCATGAGTATTGATGGTTAATCTGAGCAAAATGAAGTCTTTGACAACTTTAATCTTTTCTCCATTTATATGGATGTTGATTATTGGTGCTTATTCCAACTCATAGCAATCCTGTATAGGGTTTCTGAGGAGCGACTGGTGGTAAGTTTGAACCGCTGACCTTGAAGTTCAAAAACTGACCTTTCAGTCCAGCGCATTAGCCCGCAGCACCACACTAGGACTCCAGCCATCACACTGCTATTGTTGTTAAGTACCTTCACGTCAGTTTAGACTCATCGTGACCCTATATACAGTTTTGGAGGGGCAGCTGGTGAGTTTGAACCACCAACTTTGCAGTTCAAACTGACCTGTGGTCAAGTGCTTATCCTACAGTGTCATACCATCACATTAGGGGTAAGTTAGTTAAATGGTTGACCAAATATGGTGATGGTGGTGGTTATGTGCCATGGAGTCAGTTCCGACTCAAAGCAACCCTGCATAGGGTTTCCGAGGCTGTAAATCTTTCTCCCATGGAACTGCTGGTTGTTCTGAACTGCTGACCCTGAGATTAGCAGCCTGACTTGTAGCCACTATGCTCCCAGAGCTCCTTTAAATAAAAGGCTAATTTTTAAGTTCATAAAATTTCATGGCCCGCAAATGATGTTATAAATTTTGCCAGAAAAAAGGTTCCCCACCCCTGGAATGTACCAAGAACTGTAAAAGAATGGACAACTATGCCTTGGAAGAAGCACTTCCAAAATGCTTCTTAGAGATGGAAAGACTTCATCTCTCATACCTTGGACATGTCAGAAGGGAACTGTCTCTGGAGAAGGACATCATGCTTGGTAAAGTGGAGGATCAATGAAAAAGAGGAAGATTCTCAACAAGATGAATTGGCACAATAGACTGAAACATAGCAAAGACTGAGGATGGTACAGGACTTACCAGTGTTTTTTTTGGTTGTACACAGGGCCACTATGAATCTGAACTGACTGAATGGTACTTAATAACACAACAAGGACTCTATAACTGCAAAGCATCTCTTATGGTCCTTATCCTGTTGTCATTTCAGCTCTTCTGAGGATGAATTATAACATCTTTTTGTGGTTGTTGTTAAGTGCCCTCTTCCATCTCATAGTGACCTTGTATAGGGTTTCCTAAAAGCAGCTTGTGGTTAGCAGTCCAGTATTTATCTTAAAGCACCATATCAGGACTCCAACAGCTTATTTGTCTGTCTTTTTTTTCC